TTTTCTTACCTAAAAGTGGCATTTCCATTCATATATATATATATATATATATATATATATATATATATATAATTGACCTTTAAAAAAAAAAATACAAAGACATTTTTTCCTTGCTACATACCTGCCCTGTGTAGCAAATTTTATTTTTATGTGAAAATGCCACTTTTAGGTAAAAAAAAAAAATATATATATATATATATATATATATATATATATATATATATATAAATTGTACCTTTAAAATTGACCTTTATAAAAAAAAAAATACAAAAACATTTTTCCTTGCCACAGGCTTCTTCAGTATCAATACCTGCCCTGTGTAAACCTGCCCTGTAAAGATTTTATTTTTATATGAAAATGCCACTATTAGGTAAAAAAAAAAATAATATACTGTATATATATATCATCATTTACCTTTTAAAATTTCCCTTTACAGAAATACAAACATTTTTTCTTTTTGCTACAAGCTCCTTCAGCATCAATCCCTCTCCCTCGCTGATATTCCGCCCTTTGAAAGGTGATTTCAGTTGCAGTATCCCCTGGCAATGTTTCTGTGAGTTTGGCTGCAGTGGTCCCTCAGTCCCGTGATGTGCACCTGAATTCTGTGGATTTATCCTCAGGCTGCTTCGGGGCTGTTCTGCAGTAAGTGTAGGTACCTCCGGGAGGTTCTTTGCGGCCTCAGGTAAGCCTCTGTGCACAGCTAGGATATAGAGAGCTCGGCAAAACCCCCACACCGCCTCATACCAAATAATAATCACGCGGCTCGTTTTTTTAACTCTGTCCTTCCTCACCTATAAAAAAAAGACAATACAGAAGAGAAAGAAACAAAAGCGGCCACTTTCTGAAGCAAGCAAGCAGCCAGTGCAGTCAGAATTCCTGATTAACCACTTCCCGTCTGGCCGTTGTATATAAACGGCTGGACAGTGGCAGTACAGGGGCGGGTGGTCGTTTATAAACGATCCGGTGCCGCTGTGTCCTCCGGAGGTCCCGATCATGTGATCACTGATTGGCCAATCAGCAACTGACGTCATTGCTTACTACGTGTGAAATCTGTGAATGATCACAGAGATCACATGGTACAGGGCTATTCACAACAGCCTTGTACCATGTGACAAGCTGTGACCAATCACAGCTCACACAGTAGTTCTCAATGGCTGCAAGAATGCAGCCAGAAAGAAGGAGAAATGATTGCTTTTACAACCAAAATAAAGTTTTATCTGTCTCAAACAATGCTAAAAAATTCATATGTGTACAGTGTTGCATGACCGCGCAATTGCCATTCAAAGTGTGATAGCGCTGAAAGCTGAAAATTGGCCTGGACTGCAAGGGGGTGAAAGTGTCCGGACTGGAAGGGGGTGAAAGTGTCCGGACTGGAAGGGGGGGAAAGTGTCCGGATTGGAAGGGGGTGAAAGTGTCCGGACTGGAAGGGGGTGAAAGTGTCCGGACTGGAACGGGGGGGAAAGTGTCCGGACTGGAAGGGGGTGAAAGTGTCCGGACTGGAAGGGGGGGAAAGTGTCCGGACTGGAAGGGGGGTGAAAGTGTCCGGACTGGAAGGGGGGGAAAGTGTCCGGACTGGAAGGGGGGGTGAAAGTGTCCGGACTGGAAGGGGGTGAAAGGTCCGGACTGGAAGGGGGGTGGTGAAAGTGTCCGGACTGGAAGGGGGGAAAGTGTCCGGACTGGAAGGGGGTGAAAAGTGTCCGGACTGGAAGGGGGGTGAAAGTGTCCGGACTGGAAGGGGGGGTGAAAGTGTCCGGACTGGAAGGGGGTGAAAGTGTCCGGACTGGAAGGGGGGGAAAGTGTCCGGATTGGAAGGGGGTGAAAGTGTCCGGACTGGAAGGGGGTGGTGAAAGTGTCCGGACTGGAAGGGGGGGAAAGTGTCCGGACTGGAAGGGGGTGAAAGTGTCCGGACTGGAAGGGGGTGAAAGTGTCCGGACTGGAAGGGGGTGAAAGTGTCCGGACTGGAAGGGGGTGAAAGTGTCCGGACTGGAAGGGGGGGAAAGTGTCCGGACTGGAAGGGGGTGAAAGTGTCCGGACTGGAAGGGGGGTGAAAGTGTCGGACTGGAAGTGGATTCTGAAAGTGTCCGGAGAAGGGGTGAAAGTGTCCGGACTGGAAGGGGTGAAAGTGTGACTGGAAGTGGTGAAAGTGTCCGGACTGGAAGGGGGGGGGAAAGTGTCCGGACTGGAAGGGGGTGAAAGTGTCCGGACTGGAAAGGGGGGGAAAGTGTCCGGACTGGAAGGGGGGTTGAAAGTGTCCGGACTGGAAGGGGGTGAAAGTGTCCGGACTGGGAAGTGTCCGGACTGGGGGAAAGTGTCCGGACTGGAAGGGGGGGGTGAAAGTGTCTGGACTGGAAGTGGTTAATTCTGTATTAAGTATGGTGATGAAGGGAGCAACAGACATTTCCATTTTTTTTCAACAGAGTTTTTGGGGCTTTTTTGACCCCCTTCATCAGGGCTACAGATAACAAATAAAGCTTTTGTCAGTATTGGCCCCGATAAAGGAGGTTGGTAAAGCCCCCCCCCCCCAAAACCAAAATGCCTGTGCTAAGAAAGGAATTCCAAGGGCCGCCGTTGATGACTTCTTAGACAATCCTTGGTACCTGGTTGTCATTGGCTTTAGTACTTTGAGGTACAAACCCAAGATTCGTATGAGGATCAGAAGAGTGAGACTGAAGTCAGAACTTTCAATCTACCTTTTTTTTATGTTGGTGACCCAAAAATATGGATGAGCGAAATTGAGAGTTCTCGTTTTTCTCTTATTTCAGAGAAATTTGGACTGAAATTTTGCAATTTTTGGTCAATCAAGACCAATGGCAAAATTGCAGCCCGACTTTGGTCTCCATGCTCCTCCAGCCAGTCTCCCTTGAGACCCCTTCCATTGGTATTTTATGCTTTTTATAGACCTTCTCCTGAGGTCTTCTGGGGTCAGACCCACGTTGGCTCCTCTAAGTTTTCGGTCTCCTTCCGGCATTGTCACCCTATGCAGTTCTAGATCTAATGAATGGTACGTATAACTCCTCCTGTTGGAACTGGCGAAGGTCCTCCAATTCCAGATGCAGCTGTTGGGGGTCTTCTCCAGAAAAAGCTGCTCTCTAGAAAAAGCTCTCTGTTCCGCAGTTTGCAGGATGGGACATATTTCTCATTGCAACCCCCAGCAGCTCCAAGCCATTCTATCTTCAGTAGCTAGGGGGAGTATTATTGTGAAATTCAGACCCTCCTAAAAACAGACCCCCAATGGCTGCATCTGAAATGGGAGGACCTTCACAATTTCAACAGGAGGAGCTACAGTATATATTCAATAATGCGCCCCCTAGCGACTGCTCCAGGTTCTTCAAAGTCCCTGTTTCTGCTTTGCCTGGCCTCCTTCTCTAGCCGAGCACCACTGCACAGTTTGACCGGCCTAGAGGGGGCACATTATTGTGAAATTCAGCCTGTCCTGCATATGGACCCCCAAAAGCTGCATCTGAAAATGGGAGAACCTTCACCATTTTCAACAGGAGGAGCTATGGCATATATTGTTCATTGGATGTAGACTTGCCTAGGGGGATTTTCCACAGAGCAGCCTGGATCCTCCTCTTCTCAGGTCCCCCGCTGGCACTCCTGGCTCCTCCTTTCTGTCGGGTGCCCCCCATAGCAAACAGCTTGCTATGGGGGCACCCGAGGAGGCAGCTCCCAAGCCGTGGATCTACGTATCCATTCACACACGGAGACTTGGTTTGGCCCTGCCCCCTGTCCTGATTGGCTCACCAGCTGTGATTGACAGCAGTGGGAGCCAATGGCTCTTGCCTCAGCCAATCAGGAGTGAGAGTCCCCAGAGAACCAAGGCGCTCATGGACATCACTGGATCAAGAAGGGGCTCACGTACGTGTTAGGGGGGCTGGGGGGAGGGCTGCTACACACAGAAAGATTTTTGAAGGTAAAGAAAACCTTGAGACTTTAGAACCACTTTAAGGTGGATTTTGGTATTTTTTTTAGGGGTGCATTTGAGTGATACAGAAGCCCTTTTTACCTATCCTGGGCCTGTTCTTGGCCCCCGATTAGACTCATTGTTTTACGTATATTTTTATCAACTAAAAAAAAAAATTTGTAATGCTTCAATAAAATGATTTTATATATTATTATAAAGTAATTTTTAAATTTTATACAATAAAAAAAATAAAGAAATAAAAAAATAGATATAATAAATAGTTTAAACACTAAATACGCCCCCCCCCCCCAAAAAAAAGACACTGTCCACTTATTGGAAAAAAAAGTCTCTTTAAAAGGTCAGGTCATTTGGTGGCTGTAAATCTCCTGTTTCCACCCTCAGTGAGATCTCAGCGTTTGGCATTCCAGCTTGGCGTACCTGCGAGCAGTACAGCTTTCGCCGCTGGGTTTTCTTATTTTTTTGGGGGGGGGGAATTCAACATGAAGGAATACCTTAACCTCCCAGATTGATGTAGAGAGGAGCAAGAAGCAGGCAGACCTTGCTGCTGGAAATGGAAAAAAGGGGGCGACTCCGACCAGCAGAATCTTTCATGCGCCCGTCATCCAGGCTTCAGCCGGTCTGGATCTCCTTCGGTCTGTCTGAGGCTTCTGACGGCACGGGGCCACACATCACAGAGGAGGACTCCTCATTACAGGCGCTCAGACAGAACACAGCCATGCCTCAGGCTCCTTCTGGATGCCCGGGGCACACTTCATACCTCCTGGAATGAAGAGGCCTCTGCCTGCGTCGTCCTGGAGGCTTCGGAGGCTGGAGCAATACTACATTATTATTTTTTTTTTTTCATTTCAGCTATCTATACAATATATAGAGCAGTCGAGTTCATCAGGAAAGATTCTATTCAGATATTATATAGAAAACAGCTTATTAGATCAAATTGCATCTATAGATTTTAAAGCAGAACTCCGGCCTTCCCTTCAGTCTTGCACAGGTGTACCGGCTCCTCCCCTTCAGTCTTGCACAGGTGTCCCTGCTCCTCCCCTACAGTCTTGCTCAATTGTACCGCCTCCTCCCCTTCAGTCTTGCACAGGTGTACCGCCTCCTCCCCTTCAGTCTTGCACAGGTGTACCGCCTCCTCCCCTTCAGTCTTGCACAGGTGTACCGCCTCCTCCCCTTCAGTCTTGCACAGGTGTACCGGCTCCTCCCCTTCAGTCTTGCACAGGTGTACCGGCTCCTCCCCTTCAGTCTTGCACAGGTGTACCGGCTCCTCCCATTCAGTCTTGCACAGGTGTATTGGCTCCTCCCCTTCAGTCTTGCACAGGTGTACCGGCTCCTCCCCTTCAGTCTTGCACAGGTGTACCGGCTCCTCCCCTTCAGTCTTGCACAGGTGTACAGGCTCCTCCCCTTCAGTCTTGCACAGGTGTACCGGCTCCTCTCCTTCAGTCTTGCACAGGTGTACCGGCTCCTCTCCTTCAGTCTTGCACAGACGTACCGGCTCCTCCCCTTCAGTCTTGCACAGGTGTGCCAACTCCTCCCCTTCAGTCTTGCACAGTTGTGCCAACTCCTCCCATTCAGTCTTGCACAGGTGTATTGGCTCCTCCCCTTCAGTCTTGCACAGGTGTACCGGTTCCTCCCCTTCAGTCTTGCACAGGTGTACCGGCTCCTCCCCTTCAGTCTTGCACAGGTGTACCGGCTCCTCCCCTTCAGTCTTGCACAGGCGTACCGGCTCCTCACCTGGACTGAAATGGCTTCCTCTGATGTCACTTCACACTGTGAGCTTCTCACCCGACACCTCATCATTTAAAATACAGACGTACCTCAGTTTACGAACGCCTCGGTTAACATAATTTCCAGTTTACGAATGAAAATCCATTGAAAAGAATGCCTCGATTTACTAATTTTTTCGCGATACGAATTGATTAATTGGTTTTCAATGCATTTACAAATTTTTTGTTAATCATGTCCCTGTACAGTATTTATGCCTTTAAAGTGCATTTTATAAAGAGCTTTGAACAGATAAGACTTTATTTTTACTTTTTTCTGACCTCCGGAACAGATTAATTGGTTTTCAATGCATTTACAAATTTTTTTTTTAATCATGTCCCTGTACAGTATTTATCCCTTTAAAGTGCACTTTATAAAGAGTTTTTGAAGAGATAAATTTATTTATTTTTATTTTATTTATTGGTAAATCGTTCTTAATACTGGGTTTTGTTTCCCCAATTATTGGGTAGCGCGGCATCATTTTTGTTGTTCTCTTTTTTGACACTATTGGTAGTAGAGGCAGGGGCTAGCAGCCACTCCGGTTTGTTTAGGGTATTGGCAGCTCGGGAGGTTTTTTTCCATTGATTGATTTTATAATTGAGTCCATTCATAAAAAGACTGAATGTAAGAGAATCCATTTCTAAAAAGTTCTGTTTATTTAAAGTTAGTTTTTAGAAAAGTCCACATATAAAATGTTGGCTTATAATAGAGTCTGTTGATACAAAAATTGATTTATAAGAGAGTCTGTCTATTAAAAGTCGGTTAATAAGACAGTCCATTTCTAAAAAGGTAAATTTTAACAGAGTCCATTTATAAAAAGCCAGTCTATAAGAGAGTTCACTTATTAAAAGTCCATTTTGTTTATTAAAAGTCCATTTATAAGAGAGTCCATTTATTAAAAAAAGTCAGTTTGTAAGAGAGTTTGTTTATTAAAAGTCAAGTCAGTTTATAAGAGAGTCCATTTATAAGAGAGTCCATTTATAAAAAAGTCAGTTTGTAAGAGAGTCCATTATAAAAAGTCAGTTTATAAGAGAGTCCATTTATAAAAAGTCAGTTTATAAGAGAGTCCATTTATAAGAGAGTCCATTTATAAAAAGTCAGTTTATAAGAGAGTCCATTTATAAAAAGTCAGTTTATAAGAGAGTCCATTTATAAAAAGTCAGTTTATAAGAGAGTCCATTTATAAGAGAGTCCATTTATAAAAAGTCAGTTTATAAGAGAGTCCATTTATAAAAAGTCAGTTTATAAGAGAGTCCATTTATAAAAAGTCCGTTTATAAGAGTCCATTTATATAAAAAAAAGTCAGTTTGTAAGAGAGTTGGTTTATTAAAAGTCAAGTCCGTTTATAAGAGAGTCCATTTATAAATAGTCAGTTTATAAGAGAGTCCATTTATAAGAGAGTCCATTCATAAAAAAAGTCAGTTTGTAAGAGTGTTTGTTTATTAAAAGTCAAGTCAGTTTATAAGAGAGTCCATTTATAAGAGTCCATTTATAAAAAGTAACTTTGAAAGAGAATTTGTTTATTAAAAGTCAAGTCAGTTTACAAAAGAATCCAGTTATAAAAAAAGTTAAATTTTAACAGAGGCCATTTAGAAAAAGTCCATTTATAAGAGAATGTGTTTATAAAAATGCAGTTTATAAGAGGGTCCATTTATAAAAAGTTGGTTGATAAGGGAATATGTTCATAAAAAGTCAGTTTATAAGAGATTATGTTTATAAAAAGTTAATTTTAAGAGAGCCCAGTTATGAAAACGTTGGCATGTCTTATAAGAGTATGAAAAGACAGTTTATAAGAGAGTCCATTTATAAAAAGTCAGTTTATAAGAGAGTCTGTCTGTTAAGCATCTGTTTACAAGGGAGTCCCTTTATAAAAAGTCAGTTGATAACAAAGTCCATTTAAAAAAAAGTTTGTTTTTAAGAAAGGTTACTTATTAAAAGTCTGTGTATAAGAGATTCCATATATAAAAAGTTAAATTTTAACAGAGTCTATTTTGTTTGTTAAAAGTTAAATTTTACAGAGTCCATTTATTAAAAGTCAATTTATAAGAGTCTGTTTATAAAAAGTTCAATTTTAACAGAGTCCATTTATAAAAAGTCCATTTACAGAGAGTCTGTCTATAAAAAGTCAGTTTTTAAGAGTCCATTTATAAAAAGTCGACTGATAAGGGAGTCTGTTTATAAAAAGTCCGTTAAGAAGAGAGTCCATTTATAAAAAGTTCATTTATAAGAGAGTCTGTTTATTAAAAGTCAGTTTAAAACTTCATTTTTACCAGAGTCCATTTATAAAAAGTCCATTTGTAGGGGAGTGCGTTTATAAAAAGTCCATTTGCAGGGGAGTGTGTTTATAAAAAGTCAATTTGCAGGGGAGTGCGTTTATAAAGTCCATTTGCAGGGGAGTGCGTTTAAAAAAAAGTCAGTCTATAAGAGTTCACTTAACAAAAGTCCATTTTGTTTATAAAAAGTCCGTTTATAAGGGAGTCCATTTATTAAAAGTCAATTTACAAGAGAATTTGTTTATTAAAAGTCAGTTTTTAAGGGAGCCCAGTTATAAAAAAGTTAAATTTTAACAGAGTCCATTTATAAAAAGTCCAATTCTAAAAAGTCCATTTATAAGAGAATGTGTTTATAAAAAGTCAGTTTTTAAGAGAGTACATTTATAAAAAATCAGTTGATAAGGGAGTCTGTTTATAAAAAGTCAGTTTTCAAAAGAGTCTGTTCATAAAATGTCAATTTTTAAGAGTCCATTTCCAAAAAGTCAGTTGATAAGAGAGTCTGTTTATTAAAAGTCAGTTGATAAGAGAGTCTGTTCATAAAAAGTCAGTTGATAAGAGAGTCTGTTTATTAAAAGTCAGTTGATAAGAGAGTCTGTTCATAAAAAGTCAGTTGATAAGAGAGTCTGTTTATTAAAAGTCAGTTGATAAGAGAGTCTGTTTATTAAAAGTCAGTTGATAAGAGAGTCTGTTCATAAAAAGTCAGTTGATATGAGAGTCTGTTCATAAAAAGTCAGTTGATATGAGAGTCTGTTCATAAAAAGTCGGTTGATAAGAGAGTCTGTTCATAAAAAGTCAGTTGATATGAGAGTCTGTTCATAAAAAGTCAGTTGATATGAGAGTCTGTTCATAAAAAGTCAGTTGATAAGAGAGTCTGTTCATAAAAAGTCAGTTGATAAGAGAGTCTGATCTTAAAAAGTCAGTTGATAAGAGAGTCTGTTCATAAAAAGTCAGTTGATAAGAGAGTCTGTTCATAAAAAGTCAGTTGATATGAGAGTCTGTTCATAAAAAGTCAGTTGATATGAGAGTCTGTTCATAAAAAGCCAGTTGATATGAGAGTCTGTTCATAAAAAGTCAGTTGATATGAGAGTCTGTTTATTAAAAGTCAGTTGATAAGAGAGTCTATTCATAAAAAGTCAGTTGATATGAGAGTCTGTTCATAAAAGGTCAGTTGATATGAGAGTCTGTTCATAAAAAGTCGGTTGATTTGAGATTTTGTTTATTAAAAGTCAGTTGATAAGAGAGTCTGTTCATAAAAAGTCAGTTGATAAGAGAGTCTGTTTATTAAAAGTCAGTTGATATGAGAGTCTGTTCATAAAAGGTCAGTTGATAAGAGAGTCTGTTCATAAAAAGTCAGTTGATAAGAGAGTCTGTTCATAAAAAGTCAGTTAATAAGAGAGTCTAATCCTAAAAAGTCAGTTGATAAGAGAGTCTGTTTATTAAAAGTCAGTTGATAAGAGAGTCTGTTTATTAAAAGTCAGTTGATAAGAGAGTCTGTTTATTAAGTCAGTTGATAAGAGAGTCTGTTTATTAAGTCAGTTGATAAGAGAGTCTGTTTATTAAAAGTCAGTTGATAAGAGAGTCTGTTCATAAAAAGTCAGTTGATAAGAGAGTCTGTTCATAAAAAGTCAGTTGATAAGAGAGTCTGTTTAGTAAGTCAGTTGATAAGAGAGTCTGTTCATAAAAAGTCAGTTGATAAGAGAGTCTGTTCATAAAAAGTCAGTTGATAAGAGAGTCTGTTCATAAAAAGTCAGTTGATAAGAGAGTCTGTTTAGTAAGTCAGTTGATAAGAGAGTCTGTTCATAAAAAGTCAGTTGATAAGAGAGTCTGTTCATAAAAAGTCAGTTGATAAGAGAGTCTGTTCATAAAAAGTCAGTTGATAAGAGAGTCTGTTCATAAAAAGTCAGTTGATAAGAGAGTCTGTTTAGTAAGTCAGTTGATAAGAGAGTCTGTTCATAAAAAGTCAGTTGATAAGAGAGTCTGTTCATAAAAAGTCAGTTGATAAGAGAGTCTCTTTATAAAAAAAAGTCAGTTGATAAGAGAGTCTGTTTATTGAAAGTCAGTTGATGAGAGAGTCTGTTCATAAAAAGTCGGTTTATAAGAGACTGGTTTTAAGAGAGTCTGCTTAAAAAAAGTCTGATAAGAAGCCGACATGTATGGGGATTTTATGAGGGTCCCACTTCATCAGGTCTAAAAAAACACTCAAATACAGAAAATGTGTAATAAATAAATGAGATATAATATCTTATGTAACACAAGAAATTGAGGATATGGAGGAAAGTAAATATTGAGAAAATGTTATGACGCTGACACGCCCTGGAGTACTGGCGGACCTGTTATCAATGAATGGACTTTAGGTGGACTTACTATTGGTGTGGCACCCTTTGTCCTTTGTTTTATATATCCCCCCATGAATTACTGCTGAGTGTCCTTTTGGTTTGAGAGCTGAAAATACTTGGACTTTGAGACGTAAAATCTTAATCCCTTATAGCAGGGGACAAGATATTTGAGCCCGAGTGGCATGGGGGGCCCATACCTGTCATTTAGGGTGGCAGTTAAGGTACTTGCAGGGCGGGGCTCTGTGGCGTATCAGACTGCATTGGGTGTAATGGCTATGTAAGATCATAACTATTTTTAGGGCTAGCATCACTGCGCAGGGTTCCGTCGCCGGCCCCAA